AAAAAAAAAAAAAAAAAAAACAAGAATTTCTCTTTTCCATAACATTCTAGTTTCAATATGAAATATATCATGATTAGTTATAGTTTCCCTGGCTTGCATGCGATCTATCCATATCGATTTTCAATGTCGATCCCATAATATATCGCGTTACATCATCGCTGTCAGATTAAGTAAGAAACGTAATATTCGAATAATAGGATCATAATCGTATTAAAACACGTTTATTTAATGAACAAACGTGCTTTCGGAAATATGTATTCGATAATAATGATAATATTAATAACAGACGAACGATAAATGTCGGAGGGATGTATGGACAGCTTGTATATCGTGAAACTTTTATGCAATGACGATTGTCGATATGCAATCGAGCTGTGCCGCTCCTATTGCTTTTGATTGAACTTGTCAAAAGTACGAAGAGAATGATTTTATTAATTTTCGGCATATTTGCCCCTTCTGGTGTGTTCATTTGCCTCTCTAACGTAACGTTAAGCTACATATACATATTTTTTGATAAAGTTAGTGAGATTAAAGTTGAGAGGGCAAATCCATGTTTATTTTACACGGAGGATAATAAGACACGACAAAGATTTTTAGTTATTACTTTATGCACGCGGTCGTGCACTTTAAATACATTTACAATAGTCTATTTATAACTCAGCGCACTATCTTTTCCCTTAGAAATCATGATTAGAAACAATGAGAGACAGAGATAGAATAAAAAGCGCAAAGAAAACAAGCTCTTTCTCCATTTTTTTTTTTTCATTTTAAAATATTTGGTCCGATATTAAGAGACTCTTACACTTAATTAAACATGCGTGCCGACATGTAATAGTTTTTCTGGAACGGACGTTAATAGCAATATGGAAATTGTACGCGAGGAACACGATGGGTTACATTGATGCATTCTTAACACAATTAATTCAACAATCGATTTTATTGTAATCAATTTGTTAATCGCGATAAAAATCAAAAGAAAAATTCTATTACTCAAATCAAATAAATTATATTATTATTCAATTAACAATATCGTTGATCAAATATCAGTTCATCCCACAATAATGCGAATTTTACAATTTTACATTATGATGAAAAATAGCAATGAATATAATGAATATCAAGTAAGACAATTGGCTAAAAATTCAATTTAAATCAATAAAAATCAATACTTTGAGTTAAAATAAATTATAACTATAAAAATGTATTGAATGTATTGAACAATCTAATGAACAAATAGTTCTATTTAAATCAATAAAAGTAAAAGTACTTATTCGTTTGAAAAAAAGTTTTGTTTCTTTCTGTGTTATCAAGATAACACAGGACAAGTCATTAAAAAAAAATTAGAAGATTTTGATTAAAAAAGAATATAATCTATTTTTAAAGAAATATTACATTAATAAACTATTATTTGATTTAAAATTATTATTTTCTTAAAAATTTGTAAAATTATGTAAATGAAAAAAAATTATCAATGCTGACAAATAAAGAAACTTGCAAAAAACAGGAAAATTAATTTAAAAAAATTTACACCGATTATGGGATGATCTAATATCTTTAAATTTTCAATGCTTTGGATGTATGCAATCAATAGAATAACCCATTATCAAACTTGGTACATTCCATTAGACGGTCAAGAAATATTCTTTTTTAAATATTTTGGACTAGATTGATAAACGAGCAAGATCGTACCGATTTGAAACAACCTGGCACGCTTCAAATTCACGCACGATCGAATATTTTTCTATTTTGGAAGCAACCAAGAAAAGGAACTGTATGACACAATAAAGAGAGAGTAACGTGTATAAGAATTATAAATGAGATTCATTCGCAGCGCTCTTAATTACCATTTTTTAATTTTTTTTTTTTTTTATACTGTTCAATTACTTTTAGTGATGATTACACGTACAACGCATAGACGAAAAATCTGACGACAACAGCTCGTGTTAATCAAAGAATAAAAATTTATTCGCTTGGTCGTCACACACACGAAAGGGCAACACGCAACACGTAGGAGAGAGACCACACTTGTTAGATACATACAGTAAATTTAAATTGGGTCAACTCTACTTAAGCGTTTACATTTAAATTATCCGAACATTGGCTCTGCACAGATAAGTACTCTCCGTCTAAATATACATTTCAATTCGGTGTGCGAGAATAGTCTTCCACTATATTAAATATATATAAATATAAATATATATATATATATATGTATCTACTCGTATTTATATATTTATATTTATATATGTATACATATTCTTTTTTCTCATTTTTAATTGCCCGATTTTTTTTTCGATCTAGTCAATTGGAATCGGTCGGAACTTTTGATTCATTCATTTTAAAAATGGAATCAATAATTAAGTTCGGCTTGATATAGTTTAAGAATTCTTCAATTCTATAATAGTTTTTAGATTCTCCTATTCTTTTTTTACTCTTTTCAATTTTTTTGTTGGAAGCTATCGAGAAATGTCTGTTTTGTAATAATATGTAATATATCTATTACATAAAACGAAAGGAATGAAATATTCCGCCGAAAATAATATCACAGCCTGGAGACACGGTGGAAGACTAAGATCCATGGCTAAAACTTCAATTGAAGTCCCAAAAACAATTGAACAAAATGGCACAGATCGTTGGAATTCAGATCAAAAGTATTTCTATGAATTTTTTTTCGATGTTTTATCTATATATTGCAAAGAATTAAAATTTATAATAAATTTATAATAAAAGTGAACAAACTTAACGAAAATTAAAACTCATGAATAAAAATTAATAACATAATATTTCATTAACAATCTCTATTGCTATATTGGTTTTTTTTCTCACAATACTAGTCTCTTCTTCCTTTTTCCTCCGTGATTGTGATATTATTTAGAAAGCTTAATGCTTCTAACTTTCAGTCGTACAATGAATACATAGTTTTTTCTTGTTTCATAGTAATAAAAATTACATTTGACCATTTTTCTCTGATTTCGTCAAGAAGAAAATATGACGAAAAGATGGTCATTAAAAAGTGACTAGTATATGCACTTGTTCGCACAACGTTCAAATTAGTTCAAACTTTTTTTTTTTTGTTTCTTTTTTTATGATGCTAGACGTATATCATACATGTATAACGTGTATCATACACGTGTAACAAAAATAGGTTTATAGGTTTCTTTTGGTCGATTTTTGTTACCAGGATTCACCAATAAGACACACATGAAAATGATTCGAGACTAAGATTCAGCTATCTTTTTCACAGCATTATCGTAATAATTCTGCAAAAAATTATAGCTATATACTTGACTCTGCAGTAAGAAACAACTATTTGTTTCATTTCAAAATATAGCGTGGACTTTTAAAAATAGCTCATTTATGAAGTGATATAATCATAAATATTGTTAATTATTATAATTGATATACTCAATTATAATTATCATTCGAAATATGCTCCAATTTGTTAACAAACAATCCTAAATAATAACAAATATAAATAATATATGTAGATAAAATAATGATCAATAATGTTGTGCACATATATATATAATAAATAATTAAATAAACAATATTGTGCGCTACGCAAATATATTTCATAATAATTAATGCAAGCAAATCATAAAATTAGGAACATGAATTAGAAAAATAGTTTTATTAAATATATATGTGTATATGTGTGAGAGAGAGAGATTGTTAGACGAAATATTTAAAAACTGAAAAGATATTTCTCCCATTCTCTTTTTTTTAGAGATAAACTTAAATGCCACACATTCTTATAGAAAATAGTTATTTTGCATTTAAAAATCTTGTAGGTACTGGTAATTGTTCTAACTTGTCTATTGTGCTCTTTGCCATTTTATATTTTTAATTTTCCTAATATAATATTTATATTTTTTTTTATCATCATGATAAAAATACATTCATGATTAGGATTTTTTATTATATATGCTATTTTCAATATCTAATTTCATAAGCAAGCTAATATTTTAATAAGTTATCGATAAAAATGTTACTTTGTGAACAAACACAAGATACTCTAAAAGTATCTTAATCTCTGAAATATAATCGATAATAATTATCGAAATATAGAAAATAATTTAATTCATTGATTCTTTATATTTTCAGTAAAATGGAATACAGTTGCTAAAATATTAAGTATAAGAATGACATAAAAGTATATTATTTAGAAATTCTGTAAGTTTTTCGCATTATTCTCTATTTTTTTTTTTTTTTTTTTATGAATAATTCAATAAAAATCTTATTTAATATTCAGATTTCTATCTTGTAAACATTTCGAGCACATGACAAGATAGGCTAATACTTCTTGATCTGATACAGTCTTGAAAAATTCACTTCAGTACTATATTGCAGATATGAATCAGTCGAGATTATAATTTTTCTCGTTTTTTTTTTCTTTTTTTTGTTATCTCTTCACTGTGTGTCATAGGTATAAACTTGGTAACTATTAACGACGATTCTTACTGGTACACGTCTAAGTAAATAGTCATTACGAAAGTCGACTCGAGATGATACTTGAAAACACGCGGATGAGATTCATAAAGTAGGTGTACAAGTTTGTGCTCATTTTACATTACTGTACAAAAGTATCATATCTTTAGTACAGCAGTGCAATATATCACTATTCGCAAATAGTTCATCGAATATCTGAAATATTAGTTTTGCTGCCAAAGATTTTGATTAGTTGATCTTCATAATCCTCGATATTACGTTTCATAAGTTCCATGCAAGGCCCAAGTAAGCGTTCAAAAGCTTCAACGTCCAAAACTGAAAAAATCGTATTTAAAAAAAAATATTTTAGATTGCAATTTTTCGTAAACTAAATTACACATATCGATACTCTCATGATTATTTATTTATCTATATTCATATAAAAATCAAATGTATAATATTAGATAAATAGATATTTTAATGGATAATATTACAAGTATATAAAAAGAAAACTTACAGGCCAGTTTTACTTCGCCCACAGCGTAGGCCGAAGCAGCGCGAGGTTTATGTGTCACTAGCGCCAATTCGCCTAAGTATCCACCAGCGGGAACTCTATTAATCTGTAATATCAAATAGAATATCAAATGATATTCATTACATTGACAATGTACTAGTTTCCTACTAATATATTAATAACTACGAGTTCAGTCTTATATTGTATTGAGTTATATAGATTAGTAATTATTACAATAATTTTAGAAAATGAAAATCAACATTTGTACCTCGATTTCGCGACCATCATCTCCTTTTATGGTAATCTTAACGATACCGTCTTCGACAAAATACATTCCATCGGCTGTATCGCCCTGTTTGATGATCTGATCGCCATCTGAATAATGTTTTGGTACTAGAGCATCCGCTAAATTCATACGCTCATATGGCTAAAATAAAAACAAAAATTAAACACTGATATTATTATTCAATTGCTATTATTCATATTATTATTATATTATTATTATCCATAGTACTATTTTACATAATAATAAATATTATTAAATTTATTATTTAAATTAAATTAGTTTGTTATGAAACAATAAAGTATAAAATAAATATTAATAATTTTAATTCTAACTGAATTCTTGGCAACTGAAATGTTTTGTGCTTTATCCAAAATTTAATAATATATTTGACATGTAATTGAAAATAATCAGCTGTTACTATCAATCAAACAGAATATTCTAAAATAACCTAATAAATAATCATTTCCTGAAACAACTTATATATAATATATATAATCTCTTAAATTACAAGCGATGAATTGTTTCTAAGAAATTTTCTATATATCGCAATATTTTCGAATACAGATATAAGACTTGCCTCGAGAGATTTAAGCATCGGAACTTTATTAATAAGATCCTCATACATCTTGCGTTTTTTATAAGCGGACTTCAATAAAATACGTCGAAAAGTTTGCCTATCCATAGCCCATAATGTACCATCCGTGATGGCCTTGATAGTGGCTGCTCTTGGCATATTATAAAGGAGTGCAAGCTCTCCGAAAGCACCACGGTTATCGTATGTATGTATCAAGGATTCCATTTCTGTTTGATCTTTTACATATACTTCGAATTTTCCTCTGAAAGAGGAGCAATAATTAAATATCTTTTATAATCATTGATTTCATATGATTTATTAGAATTTCATATAAATAACGAAAAAAGAAAAAAAATATATATTTTACCTCTCAATGACGTAGAAATTGTCACCATCATCACCTTGTCGAATAACTATTTCTCCAGATTGCACGATCTTTTCAAACATTGCATCCAATACATCAGTCATTTGATCCTACAAATAATTCATGAGATTCGTGTGTGTACATGCCATAATATTGGCATGCGATTATAAATACTTTATAACTAGAAACATTTATTATTTTTTAGCATTTTAGTGATGATAATTAAGATATTTTGATTTAGATGATCTATATATATTTAGATATAAACATAAAAAAATATATGTAGTGTATGAGTGTTTTATATAAATATAATAATTTAATATATATATTAAAAATATCCTTTTTTTTTCATAAAATATCTTGTAAATAATTTTTTAAACTTGATCATATATCATTTTTTATTCGTGAATTCTTAAATTCTAATGCAATAATTAATGAATTTAGTGAATTTATTAATATTCAAATAAAATTAAAAATAACTTAAGAAAAATGGTGAATATTCTCTTAATTAGAGATTTATATATATATTCTAATCTAATTTTTTTTTTGTTTTTCTTCTTTGATCTTTATAGAATAATTTATTCTTAAGAATTTGAATTTCAATTGAGCAGATTACATGTACCGATTGGCATGTCCCCGAATTGGCGCCAATTCTTGCTGCTTCAATTATGTGCAGGCTAGATAGTATATGTGTACTATGTTTAACTTACCTCATCTAGCGATCGAAAGAGAAGAATATGTTTTATGCTGTCAGCCAACCTTTCTCGTTGCGCGTCAGTTTTCGGATGCACAATCTGTAATTAATAAATAAAACTTTCATGTAATAATGATTTTAATCACAATTATATATTTTGATTTTTATTGCACAAAGAAGTATTGTATATTTGAATTACTTTTTGAAATAGCTTTTACCGAATATTTAAATTCAATAAATTTTATAAACTTTTAATGCTTAAAGAATTACGATCATCACGCGATACGCATCGATATTATAAATTAATTGCAGCGTAATTGATCGATAAAGCTAGACCTGAATATGTTATAAAAAGAAAGGGTTTTCCATTAGATACGCGTGGGTAGATTGCACAGTACGGTAAGTTTAAAAAAAAAGGAAGAAAAATCGAACTCTTTTACGATCTTACGTTTGGTTTATCAGCAATACCGGTAGTTGGAAAATAAAAAAACTAAAGAACTCTAAATTATATGATGATGATAAATAATTGTATCTTGTCTTTTTTCGTAAAATCTATAATCGATCCTCGTAAAGAAAATAATATAATATAGATTAAAGTATAGAGATGTAAATTAAATTAAACATGGATCTTCTAAATTTTGTAAGTTGCATTTTGTTTTCTCATAATAAAGAATATAAATTTTTATATATTCAATATATTTTTTTATATTCAAATTATAATGTATACATTGATTCTATATTAAAATTACATTATTTGTTCGTTGTTCTGATTGTGATTTTTATCTCTTATTTACTCAATTTCTGTCAATTTTCTTCTGTCAATTCTTGATACTTGAACAATATTTAAACATTTGAATTTTATAATCAACATTATATATAC